CCCCCCCCTAGGGGCGGGGCCAGCGCCACCCGCCTGCCCACAGGCGAACGCTCCAGGCAGTGGGCGTGGCCTCCTCGCGAAGGGCAGGGCGCCGTTCTCTCGGCGCTGTCCCATTCAGATGGCGTCATCAGTCTGCGCCGCCGACCCCGTGTCACCCTTCCGCGTCCCGCCAGCGCTGGACGGTGGGTCCCCCCGCGCGCCCGTCCCACTCCCACCCTGGCGCCCCGGGGCTGAGGCACGTTGGCCCCCAAAGGCGGGGGCCACCTGGGGGCAAGCAGCAGCTTCCTGGGGTCTCAAACCTTCCTCCACATTTCAGAGCGATGAGCACCTGGGCTGGCCTGCGGCGCGCAGGCAGTGCCTGCCCCTTGTCTCGCCTTGTCTCCTTGGCCAACCCCGCAGGAGGATACCACCACCTCTGTTGCCTAAAGTCCCTGGATGTGAGCCGCCCTGCGGCGGGAAGCGTCCATGTCTCTAGGAACGGACCGGAGAAAAGCCAGGGAAGGTTGTGGCAGGTAGAAGCGGGTGAGAAGGCGCCCGATAGCGGTAGAGGACCTCGAGTCCTGCCCCCTCCACGCTGCCTCAGTGAGGGTGTGCTGCGTGCAGTCGTTCCTCCAGGCCCTCGCACCAGTCGCCTGGGTGCCGGGGATGTTTGGACTGCCCGTTTCGTCCACACGTCTTCGTCCTTGCGAGCCGCTCCGGTTCCTGCCTTGTGGATCCTCCTCAAACCAGCTCAGAAACTATTTGCTATCATTCTGGGCAGGTAAAACGCAGCCTCCATTCCTGTCTTCAGAGAGCGACTGTTCGGCTCGGTGTGGCCAGCGGCAAGTTGTCTTTGCGGCCGGCCTTTTGTGGCGTTTAGGGTTGAACGCTTGCATCAATGTAAATTTTGGTGGGCTTGTAAATTAGCTCTTATTTGTCATCTGAAAACCTGGTCTGTACCTGCATCAGACTAGCATTGAACACCAGTGGCCAAAACAATCTGGCCCTACACGCAACATTGGTCCACGGGGCCGGATCCTGTGCCGGGCTCCGTCTGTGGGGCCGGGTCCCCTGTGCACAGGGTCAGTCTGTCGGGCCATAGACTGAGTGCCACAGTTTTTGGCTGCTAGCAGGGATCCAGGGGGGTGTGCGGTGGTGCGGTTGTGGCTCCCTTTGCTGCCATGAGCACTCTGGTCTTAGTTGCCAGGCATGTGCAGTGAGCTTTCCAGCCTTGCTGCACCTCTTCTCACCTTCCTGGATGTGCTGCTGGCTATTAGGAACTCTTCTGTGGCTTGGAGCAATAAAAATCATGCACTCATGGTTTATTCAGGGCCTAAAAACACTGGTTTTTGGTTTTTCAAGGGTGATGCATATCCTTAACTGAAAACTCAGGCTACAATGGACAGTGACATAGTTTAAAAAGTTGCACTGATGTTTAAGGAATATACATAACTTAGATGTCTGTTTTTGTAGGTTACCAGACACACTTCATGTTTGCCAGAGATGTGGTTGTAGGCAAAAGCAGAAAGCAAGAACCTGGGATTCTCTCTTCCCCATGCAAGACAAAAGAACAGCCACTGCTGCTGACCTAATTGCCACATTGACTTCAGGCCATACTGAGAGAAAGTGGTGGTGGTTGTTTTTTCTGGCCACAGCATGTGCTGCACTTACGCAGCATAGCCATGCAGTTCAGACAGAGGTTGATTGTGTGGCTGGCTTTTGCAAGGAAATGGAATATCATTCTCCTTACTTTCTAGTGAATTTTTTAATATTTTTTTTGTTTATTATTTTTGGTAGGCAAAATCCTTGGCACATTTTTCTAAGGGAAGTCAGGGTGAACAACCCAGTTCTTTCAGGTATTTTAGACTAGAACACAAACGATAAGTCCTTTAGCCTCTACTTCCCATTAGAAGCACAGGAAACATAGCTAGTTGCTAAGCAGTAAATATTGAGAAGGCTGCCTATCTTCTAAAACTTTACACTAGATCATCATTGTAAATGTTTTAAAAATAAAATTAAAACTGTGATTGTTTTTTCTAACCAGATGAGAAAGCTAAATGCTTGAATGCTTTGCCTTAAAAAAAGGAAGCATTTATCTTGTGACACTTCTGTTCTTTAAACAAAGTATATACTATTCCATAAATCCACTGAATCTTGCATCACAGAATTTTTACCATTTTGTAGATGTTAGCATCTAAAGTTTGCCCTCATACTTGTAGGGCTGATAAGCATTATGCTTATTGACTAATGTGAAATATTTGTTTTCCAGGAGCATAAGAAAATGGTGGAAGGCCCTTCCCCCCAACAAAAAAGAACTCTTTAAAGAAAGTGTAAGAAAAAATAAATGGAGACTTCTTCTAGGTGCCTGTAGTTTAGGAACTTTATACATCATATTTTATTTTACTCACCTGGAAGAGACTCCAATCACTGGTCGTACTAGACTACTGGTGTTTGGAAAAGAACAGTTTCAGCAGTTGTCACAGCTGGAATATAATATGGTAAGTGTTGTAAGGAAACAAAGTCCTATTAGTGATGTATTCCACAGGCCCACTAGATATCCTTCTTTCTGGATGTTTGGTAATTTGGACTTGTGTATTTGTCTCTTGTAACTGGATAGGCTCCCAGCTCATGCTTCTCTTTGGGCACTCTGGTATGCTTTGAGGGTACATACTGTATATTACCCCTTCACAGAAGTGGTACTTTGCAGTCGTTGCACCCCAGCCCACAACCCACTCAAACTCACTGTTTTCCCGAGTTTCTGCCTGGTGAGCTCTCTTCGTGGACATAATGAAGCAAATAGTACACAGGCTGTGCAAAGGTTTCTAATGCAGTTATTCTGGTTTAGGTAGCACAAAAGCTATAACCATCAGGGGAAAAGAGCATTCATGCATTTAACTCCGTGTATCAGTTTCTTGAGCATTCTTTGGGACTTGATCAGAATCCTCTGAAGTGTCCAGATTCTGTCTTGTCCAAATGCTTAGTTATTGGGCCACTGAAGGGAGAACTCGTTTTCTTTGCATGATCACTTTCTGTAGCATATACGTTGTATTGCTCAGTCTATTCTAGTGTTAGTGAGTCTTGATAATCTGCTCACCCAACCATGTCAAGAAGATGCCACTTTGCTGTCACTTAGTTCAGGGAGGGAGGTAAGAACACAGTAAAAGACAGTCTTATGAATGATACAGGGATAGAGGCAGGTCATAAAAGCAAACTGGGATGCATAGACAGATTTTCCAGACTGGTATACCATACTTGAGCTGCATCCCTTAGGAAGTGTCCAGGTCTGGAAAAGGCACTGATACATAATACAATACAACTACATATTTTGCAATAATTGTCAGCCATGCTGAGTTCTTTCATTAAATAAATCATGTGAATCATCCTTTTTTAAATAAACAAACAAACAAATGTTGGTGGGTTTTTTTTTATGTGAAATAGCAGTATCTATGTTAAATGTTGAGTAACTATCCCTTTCATCTTGTGATGTGAACATTCCTGAGGTACCAATAAGCCAAGCTATTTTGTACTAAATCTAATACACTGTCATTTGGTGTAAACTGAAATTCTGCTTGGCAGCAAATATTGATATGTGGTAGGCACAGGCATAGGATTCAGTGTACAGCAGGGACAAGAGACAGAGGATAAGAAGTAGGATTATTGAGTGGTAGCCAGGGGGACATAGCTGTTGACTGGTAGAAGACAGGAACACAGCAGTGGAGCTGGGGAACACTGATTTAGACCTTAATATGTAGGAAAAACAAATTAGCCTTTTGTGCAGCCTTTTAATGATGGATCCCAATTCTGTTGTCCCTCCTCCTGTTTTTGAATTAAATATTTTTATCTCAGTGCTAGACTTGTTTCTAAGAATTTTGCTTTTCATAAGACACTTTGGCTGGAAAACAAAATACACTACAGACATGCCTTTTAATCTGAAATCTCTACTTGAAATATGAAGCATCACAATAACACACAATATGGTGTTGCTAGTTTGACTAAAATGTTTTAGGCATTATGAAGAGTAAGATAAAAATGTGAGATAAAAATGCTTCACTTCAGTTTTTCAAACGAATTTTCATAAGCACATCAGTCTTCTTGGAACACTTTTTAGAATGGAATTTATGTATTCTTAACATTTTTACCCCAAATCATTATCTAAAGAGTTTACAATCTTTGGGAAAAAATCATTTGAAGTAAGCAAACAATATTTGAAGGAAGGAGGAAGGATAAACCTTACAGTGTTGTGTTACTCAGTTTTGATACAGGTGTATTTTGAGATGTGTATGAATGTGCTGACTTAAAGCAGTTAATAACTTGTGCAGCTGTGGATTCATTTGGATCAAAAGTATGTGAATACAATTCAATGGAGTCTGCATCTCCATTTGAAATATCCAGAAGGGTCTGCACCTCCCTTTCAAAATGTTTAGGTTTCTGCAGATGAAAACTTAAAAATCTCTGGTCTGGAATAATATTATTTACTATTTTGTTACATTTCTACTGTGCTTCCTGTGTATATTGTATCATTGTATCACTTAGTCTCTGTACTCTATCCTTCATCCTGTGCCAAAGAAACTCAACAAGTTATCTCTTTTCAGTGGATGGACAAGTTTGAAAATGAAATGTTACCTGAGGAAGACCCTCGCTATCAACTTGTGAAAAAAGTAGTTCATCATCTCTCTGAAAGCAACCAAGACATCCCACAGTTCTCAGAGTTTAAGTGGGTTATTCATGTAGTGGAGGAACCAGGCATAAATGCTTTTGTGCTTCCAGTAAGTAAAAGCAAAAGTTAGCAGTATTACTGCAGCAAAAACTTAGTGTTTGTACACAGGGCCTAATCTGCTTTTTTCCTTCTAGAATGGACAAGTGTTTGTTTTCACTGGGTTACTAAATGCAGTGTCAGATGTTCATCAGCTGTCTTTCATTTTGGGACATGAGATAGCTCACGCTGTGTTGGGACATGCGGTAAGTAGTTACAAGTAAAAAAAAAAAAAAAAAGGGAAAAAAGTGTCTTAATATAGTCACTTTTGGGTGACGTGTTTTTAAAGTGGGGTTTCTTCATTAGTGTAAATTGTCATCCTTTTATGCTGCCCAAGATCAAATGAGGGCATTGAAAAGGCATTGTCCTGACCCTGCATATGCTTATTATTATAAATAGTATTTACTACCATGAGTAATCCCCTGATAGTAAGTGTTAACACTACATCTGCTAGTAGGTATTGCAGAGCAGACCTGGTGTGGTTTACATTTCATTACTGAAGGGTTGCAGGTAGTCAGTACCTTATCTTCTTAAACTTGGTTACAATGAAGATAAATATTTCTTAGCTTCTAAAACACATGTTGCCAGAACTTTAGCAACTTTTCCAAAAGTTATAGATAGGGAACCTGAAATCTGCTTCTTTGTTTGCATGCCCAGTCAGTTACTTGCAAAAGTGCGCATGAGCCCCAACTGTAATGTGGTCATGTTAAAACTTTTCAGCATTGCTGGTATAGCTTTGGAAAAACAAACTAGGAAATCTAATTGGGCACTAAATGTATCAGCTTTATACTGGTATATAAAACCAGTAGCTGACAGAAGACACAGATCTCTAAAACGGGGTAAATTTTCCTAATTCAGTGGAGACTTATCATTGAAAAAACGGGTAAAGCTTGACTGATTGAGGTTATATCAGTTCAGGCCTTATCTATCCACACCCATCCAGGCAGCACCATGCTGCTTGTATATCCATATCCCTGCCATTAGCTGAAGGTAAGCAGGTTACCTCCATCTTGACTTCTAGTTGCAAGACGATGAAATAGTAACTTGCTGTGTTGGTCAGCCTGGAGTGTTGTCCATTCCCGATTCAAGTCATGTATATCAGCAGACAGGACTGGTGTAAATTATGCCAGGTTGGTGTTCATCTAATTATATCCTTGTTCAGTTTTATTATTTTTTAATCCAGTGGTGTTCAATCTTTTGGTCCCACGGGTCAGATGAGTGGCCCGGAGCTGGTCCATGGGCGAGATGCAGTCAAAATCAGTCCCTCGGGCATAATGCTGCCACCTCCATGCCCTTTATGGTAGGACTAGGCTCTGGTGGGCCTGGCACCACACCCTTTCTTTGGGAATTGGGTCTAGGTGCCCTCCTGGCCCTGCACACTGGAATTGAGCCCCAGCACCACCCCCTCATACCCTCACATGCCAGGATTGGGCCCCAGAGCCCTGGTGCTGCCATCCTCCTTCCTCTCCACATACTGGGATTGGACCTCAATGCTACCTCCTCCAGACCCTGTTCATGGGGATCAGATACGCAATCCTCCATTCAGGACCCAGGGCTCTTCATGGGAAATTTGGCAGTAGGGGTGCAGTGCCACTGCTCTCTTGCTGCCAGATTTCCAGAACCATGGAGTGCTCTGCAGGCTGGATATGGCCCAGAGGTGGGGGGCATTGAATACCCCTGTTCTAACCCATTTAAGGGAAAGCACTATTGGAAGTGCTTAGTTTACTTCTGCTCTGTTTATAGAATACTTGTATGAGCTTGGGCAGGTTACTTCTTTTCTCTGTGCTTCACCTTCCTCTAAACATGTGGATAATAGCTCCCTTCCTTGAAGGCTGTATTTCCTCACAGACAACTTACATCTTTCTGCCAAAAAAGCTGCTGCTGGAAGTTGCAGTGTGCATTATGTACAAGAAATATGGTGGGAGCAGTTTCTTTCTTACAGAACAAAAGTGAAAGTAAAACTTGCACTCGACTCATGGAGCAGAACAGCAAACAGGCTTGGCTCCTCGTCCTTCATCAAAAATATCTCTACTTCTAACACCAAAGCAGCTCCACAAAAATCAAAACAGACAAGCTGGGTCTGGCTGCCTGACTGCTCCTAATACCTCTTCTTCATAAGGGCAGTAGGTTTCTACAGTCAGCCTTATTTATATCCTTTCCCTTGACTTGGGGTCCCCTGCTGGAGTGCTGTTTACTAGCCTTTTCTCCTCTGGATCAAACATCACCTTGTCTTAGGTCTCAAACCCTTCACCTGGGGGCAGCTAATTTAATCACACTGGACACGTTTACACATGCCTGTTAACGTGCATCAGTAAGCTCCAGAGCTTATATCTCTGGAGCTTGTTGCTGCTGGGCATGTGTCTTCATGTGTGTCTGGGATTCCAGCATGTTGAGCCAGGGTGGAACAGCCCTGGCTGGCGGGGGGCCCCGAGGTCAGCCTGTCAGCCCAAGGCTGCTGCCCCCAGCTCAGTGTGCTGCAGAGGGGCTGGCTGGGGCACAAGGTTGCTTCAGTGCACCCTCATGCCCCAGCCAACCCCTCCAGCATGTACACATACACAGCTGCAGTATTTTACTGTACAGCAGGATAATACTGGTATTTACAAGTACAGTCCTGCTGCGGAATAAGTTAGGTTCCTCCAGCCTACCCAGAGCACATATGTAGATGCCAAGATGTTTACTGCACACCTAATTAGTCTACTGCGCAATAAATGTCTTGTGTAGATGTGCCCACTTAGGAAAAGTCTACCTCCTTTAAAAGAGCCATTTCCACCCTATGACAGGAGCGTCTGGATGTCTAAGATAGACCATTCTTTTCTATCTTAAATATGGAAGAACACCAAGCAATCAGCATATGAGAAGAAATGATTGAAAACAGCACTGTTTTTGTTTTCAGGCAGAAAAGGCCAGTCTGGTACATTTCTTGGATTTCCTGTCACTCATCTTTCTCACTATGATTTGGGCCATTTGTCCCAGAGATAGCTTGGCAATCATTGGCCAGTGGATCCAGAGCAAGATGCAGGAGGTAAGAGAGTATCTATGGAACTGCTGTACTAGCTAGTTACAATGTCTGGTTCAGTAACTGGTATCACAGAATGGAAGTATGCCTTTAAAGCAGGATGCATGTTTGGTTTATGCATGGATGTCTACTTCAGTCTCTCCTTCAGTGACAAAAGGTCTTCTGCCATTGCATAAGGTGGCTTACTGCAGTGATTCCAAACAGTCAGATCTTGGCTTAGGTAAAATCTACTTTAGTGTGGAATATTGAGAGAGAACCAGGGGACATAGAGGCAGATTGCAAGACTTCATATCATAGTCTTGGGATAGTTCATAGTTCTTTCAGTAGGCAGAAAATCTCTGAAATTCTTTAAAAACAGTGTTGATATCAGCCATGTCTTTACTACCTTGTTCTTACTTGGCGTACAGCTGTTGTACTTACCTGCCTCCGATCCCAACCTTGTTGTCCACAGAAAAGCCCTGTAGAAGTAATTAGCTTACTTGACTAGAAAAACAGACAAAGACCAGATGTACTGATACTGCTCTGAGATAAGGAATCCGTATTCCTACATTCCTTGGGTTATCTTGATATATTGCCCTATACATAGATAGTTTGTTTAAGTAAAACTTTCTAAGTTTCTGTGTAATTTACTATTGTTTTGTTTCTCCAAGGTGTATTTTTTATGTCTTTCTCTGTCTTAAGTATAAATATGCTTGTAACCTTAGAGAGTCTGAGAAATCCTTTGAAACAGACAAGTGGGTGATTCCCCTGGCTGTATGGAATTCTCCCTGTGATCACAGTATAGCCCTAAATAAAGAAAAGCTGGCTCTGTCAGTTCTGATTCAACCACAACGCGAAGTTTGATTTCTTCCACAGCCCCTTACTGTTCCTTTGGTGAATTATTCTGGTTACCTTCCAGAATAAAATAGGCTATCTGAGCTACTTTTATAGCTAGTGACTGCAGATTTCTTTAGGTACACATTGCCAGACCTGCTTGCTTAGGGCTCACTTTTCATAGTTTTTTTTCCTGAAATATGAAGGAAGGAAACATTTCATATTCCAAATACTTTCCATCTGTGAGTCAGCTACAGGAAGAGCTGGCAGAAACTGTTTCTTTAATACACGTGTAGTAGACTCCTTCTGTCTGGTTGTATTTCCCAATTGATGCCCAGCCCAGAGAGTCATACTATTATGCTGCCTCAGTAGAGCAAGCCATTTCAACAATCCATAATTTTCCTTCATCAGTTCAAAAAGGATGTGTCTCCACAATTCAAAAAGGATGTGGAGAAAGAAGCTTGAGAGAGTCCAGAGAAGAGCCACGCGCATGATTAGAGGTCAGGAAAACAGACCTTACGACGACAGGCTGGGAGTCATGGGGCTCTTTAGCTTGGAAAAGCGCAGGCTCAGGGGTGATCTGGTGGCCACCTATAAGTTTATCGGGGTGACCACCAGGATCTGGGGGAATGTTTGTTCACCAGAGCATTTGTTCACCAGGGCGCCCCAAGGGATGACGAGGTTGAACGGTCATAAACTACTGCAAGACCATTTCAGGCTGGACATAAGGAAGAATTTCTTTACTGTCCAAGCCCCCAAGGTCTGGAACAGCCTGCCATCAGAGATGGTTCAAGCACCTACATTGAACACCTTCAGGAGTAAATTGGATGCTTATCTTGCTGGGATCCTATGACCCCAGCTGACTTCCTGCCCTTCGGGTGTGGGGCTGGACTCGATGATCTTCCAAGGTCCCTTTAAGACCAAAACCTAACATTGATGCAAAGTGAAAGATTAGAGAGAGAGTCTCTTACTTTGTTTGTGATCAGCTTGTTTCACTCAGCAATGATTAGCATCTTTAACTCCTCTTTTTAAAACTGACTGGAGTTAAATACAGAGTTGCAGAATGCTCTGAGATTCACTGAAGGAAGCACTTTCACTCTTAGTCCTTAGCAGTGTTTATGTAAGTTTTCAAGTTATGATCACTTCATAAATAGGTGAAAGCAAGGGTTCTGAATTGAGGATCTGAAATATTTCTTTCACAGTTTATGTTTGATAGACCCTACAGCAGAACATTGGAAGCTGAAGCTGACAAAGTGGGACTTCAGCTGGCTGCAAAGGTAAGAATTATGACTGCTGCTTGTTTTTAACAGTGAAATATCAATATTTTTCTCTTTTTGTTTCCATTGTTATTTGAATAAGTTCTTTACAAATGATGCTTTATGCACAAGTACGTTTTGGTTTTGCAGTCTTAGGATTCCTAACGTTTTTGCCAAATGGGCTTTTCTTGAAATCAGGGGGAGAATAAAACGGTCTTCTGGGAAATCCATAGCCATTTTACTAATAGTGTGTCATAACTGGAATTTGTAAAATTGTGCCTTGTTAACTACAAAGAACACTTTCCACAGGTTTTAGTCCTAATAAGAGGAAAAGCTACTTGTTCTTAAACAAGTGAAAGCCAACTAGTGAATTGTCATGAATAAAATACATATAAATATATTTGCATGATATATTTTAAAACTCCTGAGTCCTTTAATTTCTGATTATTCAACTAGCTTCCAACTTTTATAAATGGTGTCAGTAAATTTATGAATTACTTTTGATATGCAAGTTGCTTCATATGTGCAACAGATGAGTGGCACCAAATGATGTGATTCTTCCTAACGTGACTGTCACCCTTGTTTGTATGCTATTTGTAGCTGTTTATTGTGTAATTGATGCACCAGTTCATCGTTTTATCTTTGAAAGATGTTAGGGCCAAATATAAATAAGAATTTAGGTGTGTTGGTACTGAATATTGCAATACCTAAAGGTCAAAGTGGAGTTTATAAACCCAATTTGGGAACTTAAGTCCCATATACTTTAAAACAGATGAGCTAGGTGCCTGGAATTGGAAATTACAACACTCAGGTAACTGATGGGGGATGGGGACGGGGGGCAAGGAATGCCTAAACTAGTCCATAGGAAAGGCAAAGTGAGGGGTGTGCCAGAAATCACACTTCTTTCTGACTTTTGACTTGCAAAAATGTGAGTTCTCAGATGTCCTGGGTGCCTAACCAAGTTAGGCAGAGTTCTGTGGATTGCTCTCTTAGATCTAGGTGCCTAATTTCTACCTAAATTTAATTTCAGATATCCAAATACCTTTTGTTTCTGGTCTTCACTTCATGCATTAAACAAACTAAGCAGGACCTCTTAGCTCTGCCCAAGTATAGTGGTTGGCAGTTTTAGATAACTATGCGAACAGCACCACCTAGAGTTACTACTTCAGAATAAGGAAAATAAGTTGGAATTATCATTGCTAGTATATATTTTGAAAACCTCTAAGGTTTAAGCACAAGCGGATAATCTAGGGTTGAAATAATTGCTTTTGATGGCTATTGTAAATCAGAAGCAAAGATCAAGGTGCCTTGTTGGTGTATTGGAAAAATGTCATGGGTAACTAACTTACCAGGGCAAAGCCCTGCTGCTTTCCAGGATCTGTTGTGACACTCCCAGATGCCAACACAAATGCTGATCCATGCTGTCTGCAGCAGCTGGAGGTATTACAACTTTACAGATATTTTCCAAGATTAGTGTTAAACTCAGAGGAAAAGAGATCATCATGGTAAATGTAACGCAACTTTGTCCTCAAACCTGGGTGCTTGTTTACAAGTATGTAATTATTGGAGCTTAAAACAGGAGTTGGATTAGGCACTGGTTATGTCTAGAAACAGTCTCTCATTTGCTGTACTATTTAGGGCAAGTTACTTCAATGTCTGTGTATCAGTTTCCCCGCTACTAAAAGAGGGTGGTAGGATTTTTTCCTTATTAACATTTCAAAAGGCATTTGCACTTCTATAGTGATTTTCTTCCAGAGATGTCAAAGTACTGTATAAACCACACATATGACCGCGGTCTCCATGAAATTATTTTTTTACTTAAGTAGCTTATCTTTTTACCTCAGCTCTTCCACTTGTGTTGCAACCTCTTATTCATCTGTATCAAGAATATTTTATGATCTTAATCTCTGGGTAGTTGATTTCATTTATTTATTTTCAAAAGAAATATACAGGAAAAAAAACTACACAACACTGCTTTCTTTCACATGAATGCAGAGTACATAGCAGAAAATATGCAGGTATATGGAGTCCGGAACAGGGGTTGGCAACCTATGGCCCATGGGCTGGATTTAGCCTGCCAAGTCATCTTTCTGCCCTGTGATACTGGCAGTGTTCTAGTAATGGGAGAAGTAGTGACAGCAGTGGCTGGGTCTGTAGCATTGGTTCGCTGCTCCAGAAAGGTTTCTGACTTCTGGTCGAGACCTTACATATTCAGTCTTACATAAATGTGTGTTTTGATTTGCAATATCACATGGCCTTCTGTGCTTTAATTCCTATTGGTATCAAGGGATAAGGGTACTTGCTTTCCAGCTGTATAAAGGATCAATTTTTGCCCTCAGCAAGTTGCAAGTGATCATACCTTCTTAAACACGTAGCATTTTGTCTTACAGGAAAGCCATTGTGGATAATTTTTAGATGCATGTAATATATTTTAATACTAGTTTCTGGCTTTACAGTGACTCCTGAAAATGCTCTTTGTAGTGTGGAAGGGTGAGGGAAGTGGGGCAGAGTTACATATGAGCCAGCAAAGTAGTCAGGGTAAAAAACCCCACTGAAACAGTGTTTGCAAAATCTGTGCCATAAACAAAGCAAATGTTTGGTGTCAAGGATTTAAGAGTCCCTTTTGAAACTTGCCCATGGCTTCCACATTCCTGAGAAATTTGGTCTTTTCGTACTTGTCAATACGACCTCTGGGCTGAACTCCCTCATACTTTGCATACTATGCTATATATATAGATATATTCCCCCCTTCCTTCCCATATATTTTGTTTGTTATCTGCTGGATGCATTTTTTTTACTTTCCCTCCATCACTTACATAACACCAGTATAAAGAGGCTCCTTGGCCTTATTCTTTACCGTTTCCTGCTCAGTATGTCTAGTCTGACTTGGTCTCCCTTGGTACCTCAGCTCATGTGACCAGGGCATCTTGTTGCTCTTATCCTTGTGCTGCCCGATGGATGGTGACAGCCCTCTGCAAACTGTTCGGTGTGTGGTGTGCTTGGCTTCCTGCAGTGATGCTTTCTGGAAGCAGAGAATGTTGTCCATGGAGAAGGGAGAAAGCAGCAAGAAGTTCAGAGTCCAGCCAGCTTTTTTAAGCAATGCTCTCAGAAGTCTCATGTACCTTGAAGAGCTTTGCCAGCTCCCTCCCATCACCAGTTTCCTGCATTGATTGCAATCCATGATCCTTTGGTTTTCCTGGGGGTTCTGGATGTAGGAAGTGAGAACCTTTTAAACTAAAAGAAGTGTATACAGCAGTGTTTTCCAACCAGTGTGCCGTGGAATTTTGCCAGGACAATGAGCTACAATAGGTATGAAGATTGGGGATGCCTTAACAGGTGTGCTGCAGAAAAATTTTATTAATGTTAAGTGTACCTTGTGTTGGAAAAGGTTGAAAAACACTGGTATCTAGCATTCCTTTGTAGTACTTTGTATTGATGCTGGGAAATACCCTTAATACTGCAGATAGAATTTAACTACAAATATTTTGCTAGATAAGGTGGATAATACTTTTGACTGAGGATCATCATTGCCTTGGGTATGTTTAAATGATTTTCATATCTCTGAGTGATCATCACACTGCAGGCCACTTAACACTTTTTTTAGAAACTTTTTAACATTGCATGTAAAGCCAATATTCCCAACAGGGTTTTTTTTTAAATTCTGATTGGGTGTGGCGGAGCACCAGTGAGGTGCTTGTCACTCTGGGGCTGTTAGAAGCTCCGTGGGAGCTTGCTTGCAGAGAAGCAGGGAAAAGCCTTTTCCAGGAACCATTTTAAAGGGAGAAAGTGGGTGGCAGAACACATTGGGTGTCTGCCACTTTAAGAGCTGGCAGCACGTGTTGCCCCAGCTCTGATGAGCTGCCATTTTAGATCCAGGCCAGCAGAGCTGGAGGCAGCAGGTGCCTGCTGCCATGGAAAGAACATCCCCCGGAGCTACTGCTCCCACAACAACTAGGAGGCAAGGGCAAGAGCTTATGGGGATGGCTTGTAGGCTCCTGGTCCTGGGCATGACTTGAAACTGCACCCTGCTGGGGAAGGGTGACCTGGTGGGGGTCTTAGGAACCCCCAGGAAATGCCAGGCCAGTTACCTCCCTGGTGAAAGGCAAGGAGGGGTGCCTTAACCCCAGCCCCCACCTTTGGGTGGGCTATTTAACACCAGAGGCAGCAGAGGGCTGGGCACGCCCTGAGCCCATGTGGGGTCCAAGACCCCAGAGAGTGGATAGTGGGGCCAAGCATGACTGCGACCACCTGAGCCCAGGTGGGGTATAAGACTCTGAAGAGCAAGAATGGTGAGCCAGGCATGCCCTAGTGTGGCATCTGAGCCTGTGTGAGGTGCAAAACCCTGGAAAGTGGATAGTGGGGCTAGGCATGGCTGTAGCCACCTGAGCCCAGGTAGGGTACAGGATCCTGGAGAGCAAGAATGGTGGGCCAGGCATGCTGATGAGTGGCACCTTAGCCTGCAGGGGGGTGTTCAACCCCAGATCCCAGCATAGGGGATGGAGTATGTACCTCAGTGGAGGTGGGGTGCAGCTGGGCACCTGATGGGTTGCACCAGAGGAGCAGTTGGGAGGCCCTGGAGAGTGGGGCGAGTCAACAGGGGCAGTAGTGTGCCCCTGAGAACACAGGGGCCTGAGATGAGGCCCTGTGAGGAAGAGACATGAAGTGGGCCTGGGGTGAGCAGGGGCTTGAGGGTAGGTCCTGCTAACATGGGGGCTGAGTTAAGTCCAGGTAAGCTTTCAGGTGCCTGAGGCCACAGGTGAGCTGGAGGCTGATTGGGTGGGGTGGCAAGTAAATAATGGGGTGAGTCAGAAGCCTGTGATTGAGAGCAGCTGAGTGAGTGACCTGGTGAGAGACCAAAGGCAGAGTCAGACCAGTGTTTGGTGAACCACCCAATTGCTCGCTCGGATGAAGGCAAAGGGAGATGCCCAAGTTGTTGCACAATTGCTGGCTGGGGAGTGTAGGGAAACAAGCCTGAGGACCCTCCGGGTGAGGGCAGGGTGAGTGTGGCTCTGGGGAAAAGG